ATGGTTTAGAATAGAAACATCCTGGGTATTGACTGTACTGACCATGTATGAACCAATGTTCTGTAGAAAACGCTTGTTCAATATATGATATTAATAATAGTTTTCTAGACTAAAATTTACATATATAATACGAGAGGCATGTTATAAAATATTACTACCCTAATATGGGTGTGTGCACTCTTGTGCAAGGAGAACAGTATCTTCCTTAACGTATGGCAACTGTTTTCCTGTGCTCCAATGCAATGCCCACTTTCACCCAGTACTGTAAAAACTGTATTAGAAGCCGCAGCTTCTATTAAAATGGTATAATTGCAACAGAGGGGATGCGGCTTCTATTAGAGCATCTACACATATGAGAAATGGTGAATTTTTGGTTCTCAATTGTTCAAAAGGATGCAGCTTCTACCGGGGGTAATACAGATTTTATGGTAATATATATATTACCGGTACTGCCTTCTTCATGCCTGTGGACACAAATACTCATATTTGAACTATACTATTTTTATTACATTAAATGTGATATACATGATGTCTGCAGTTAACATACTCCACACAAACTTTGGTAATGATCTCTTTGCTAGAACAATTGTTGTGATCTACAACTTAATATTGTCGCTATGCTGGATGTGTCTAACAATGGATTGTCTTTCATGCTGTGTGCTGCCTGGGGTTTCATCATGCTTGACTGCAATAACTCCACAGGCCACCCAAAAATACACAGGGCTAGAACCCTGTCCTGCATGCACAATTAAAGTCCAAGATTGGTCAGTCAGCTATGTAACAAAGCAAAGTGAATTCAGACCAATTTTAACACATAGCCAGGGTAATGAACCAATGCATTGCCTGATATTAAAAGTTCAGTATCTTTTTTTTTAAATGTTTTTTTTGTGCCAGGCGACAGTTCCAGACATTGAGTGTCACTGTTGTCTCTCCTGACTTGACTTGTATGTGTAAATTGCAAGTGCTAGTGCTGACACATAGTGCATTTTTGCCACAGAAGTCATATTCATGTTGTGGGACTACATGACAGGGCTGTCTGGCTATCTTTCTATCAAATTGCCATTTTAATGTGCTATCCTGGCGTCAACCAGGCTGGTAGAAAAAAAAAACGTTCAGTAACTAACTTCTTAGAACATACATTGTAAATATAAGCATAAATTATTATCTTTATACTTGATAAAAAAACACACTTTACAATACACCTGCACTATAATACCCAAAGTATTGATTGATACCGGATAGACAAACATAACCTACATGTACCTTAAGGTAGAAGCCCACTCATAAATTAAAAAAAAACAGAATTTATTCATTTTGCAATAAATTGTACTCCAAGGCAATATAAGGATATTGACGTAAAAAAAGTTTGGGGTCACCTTTTTTCGAGAAATTGATGATTGTATTTTAGTGGAAAGTTGCCATTTTGACACTATTATAACACTTTTACCACAGGTTCCTATGGCAGAGATATTATGCAATATCTCAAAATCTAGCCTGGTGACATAGACTGAAAAAATTATATATTGTTAATGATTGAGTATTTTTTGCTGTTCTGAATTATTTAAAAAGTGTGTCAAAAAATGCAATTTTTCTTTAACATTGTGTTCTATGGAATTGTTCTAAAAATAGCAATTTTCAAGAAATATTAGGACACGTTTCTCAAAAAGCATAACTGTAACAAACAAAATAATGCTATTTCATTGTACCATGAAACATTACCTTCATGATTGTACATACTAAACTAATGAACATTGTCATGCGATTTGTGATCAATTTTGTCAAAAATTATGACTAGGCTTCTACCTCAAGTGCTAATAACACACACACACACTTCATTGCTCAATCCCTTACTGAACTAGACACATTGCTAAAATATCACACTGTCAATGATAACAGTGCCAACACTTTATCAACAATAATATAATAATGAAGTAAAGGCAGTCAGACCTGCTTAACTATGCTATATTTTTGACACCAAATTATTTCAATCCAAAAGATACATGCATTAAACCTGCTACATCCAATGCCCATTACTATTAACACAGCCTGCAATCCAGAAATACATGTCATTGATGGATTCTGCACAGAATATCTCTATCAAATGACTACATACACACACATCAATAGTTCAATGAGAAGACACTTAAAATTCTAGACAAACTTGGCACAGTCATACAAAGTTCTGAAGATGTTTGATATTTCTGCTATTTACAGGCCACTGTTTCTTCATTCAAACTTAATAATGTCCTTATTCTGGCCTTTATGAGCACAGCATTCTTGAATCTCGCTTTAGACTCTCATGAAATTCTATTTCTTCTGTAATTTTAATGATGTAATCTAGCAAAATCAGTTCACATCTGTACAATAGCTAGCTTTTGTATTGTCAATGATTTCCTGTTATCTTGGCATCAATCAGTCAAAAGTGTGTACTGTATATCACTCTTGCTATAATTTAAGCCAAATTATTGTCTCTGCATCTCCTTCCATGAAGCACTGTTTTTTATGTGGTTGCCACACTCAATTACACACTGATTATTCCCTCCTTATTTTCCAACTTGCCGAATAAACTTGCGCTCTAAATTATATAACAAGCATTGCATTATTGATTTGTTTATCTGTAGCACTGACTGAAAAGATAAAAATACATGATAGAGAACATAAGAGACGTGTATTACCAATATTAAAACAAAGATTGTCTGAAACTACACCAGCCAAGGAAAGATTATCAAAAATCAAGAAGCTGGAGTCAGTTTGGTAAGAAAAGATTGTTTACAGTCAGTTTCTAATCAAACAAATGTACAAAATGTTGTAGCAGGCATTGGATGGCACAATGCTCAACAAGCTTAGTTCCTTTAATGACAGGCTGTCAATTTATAGCCAAAGAGTCATATTCATTATGCTTGTGATTTACAGCAAAGTCAGAGCATTCCATTATGAACTTTCAATACTATTTCTGAATAATCTGTGATATTTTAAAATATTTTTCACCATTAAGTTTTGTTTGGAGCAAGGATTTTTTTTTGGTGAGAAATAATTGAGACTCTGATTGATAGTAAAATTGTCTGCACATAAAATACCAGAGTGTGTGACTTTAAGAGGTCAGAAAGTACCAGGATGTGTGACCTCAAGAGGTCAGAAAATACCAGGATTTGTGACCTCAAGTGGTCAGAAAATACCAGGATTTGTGACTTTTAGAGGTCAGAAAATACCAGGATTTGTGACCTCAAGAGGTCAGAAAATACCAGGATTTGTGACTTTTAGAGGTCAGAAAGTACCAGGATGTGTGACCTCAAGAGGTCAGAAAGTACCAGGATGTGTGACTTTTAGAGGTCAGAAAGTACCAGGATGTGTGACTTTTAGAGATAAGAAAGTACCAGGATGTGGACCTTAAGAGGTCATGTCCAATCAGACTATCATTATTTGTTTGTAATTAGATTTGATATGTGTGTTGTACATAGGTGGGATCAACCAGCTCAGAACCTTGTCACTTGGATGCGTGTAGATGACATGACAATGGATGAAGTAAAGAACACCTGGAGAGTGGAAACCACAAAACTTATACAGAGTTAGATATATTACCACGACTGATGACTCCATAACTATTACATAAGCCAGATGACCATCTTATATCTGATTATGAAATAAGCTGATATAGACATGTATGATGTATTTGCTAAATATGAATGAAATAAGTCTTGTAATGTAGTATGGTCGAAAAGCATGTTTTTTCACGCATAAAATGGGGGAGTTGTCACCTGCGCATGCGTCAGATGGCCATAGCGTGTGATTGTTCACAAACACCTGTCTACCCATGAGCATTTGCGTTTTTAACGTATGTTGGTATTGTCGCTTGGGACTCAATTCCCACAAGTGTGTAGGTGACGACCCTCCCACTTCAATTACTCACCATACAATACAAATTTATTCAGAATTGGTTTACCTGGAATGTAATTTGCATATCAAATTTGATTGCATATCAGATACAAGCGTTCCCATTGACATTAAGCATATATATTGTGCATGAAGCAATACATATCTATGACAATTCAATTTGTGATAGGATGAAAAACCATCTTGTTTTTTGGTCATATTTCTTTATCTTAGGTATAATTAACATTTCCACCAATTACAACAGGAACTATGTCATTAATGATTGCTATTATCAGTTCACTCACTGATTTTTCATTTATCCATTTATTTGCTAGTTATGCAGGGAACCCAGTTTTTAATATAAATAGAGAATACATGTATATGTGGTGGTGAATTGTCTTGATACAATGTCATCTTTGAGATTGAAACAATGGATGGATGATAGAGGTACTCTCTTGACCAATGCGTCATGTTTTTAAATATCACTTGTATTGAATATTGAGTGGGCAATGTTTAGATTGTATAAAAACAAAGCATTTATGTTACATTATTAAGCACTGTAAATATTGTATAGAACTTCACCCGTTTCCATGCTTATTAAAAAATTTTCATGGTCTTGAATGTCATTTGAAATATATATAGTAATAAAATTCTTTAACTCTTGATGCATTTTATTTAGTTACATCATAATGAAATCAGTTGTATTGTGGCGACAGAATTTTATCCCAATTGATTTGCATAGTCGTTAAAAAAATAATACGAGAATTTTGTGCGGTGATCCCTTAACCCTTTGATCAACGTTTAACGGGTCAGGGTGTCAAGCGAGCGTTATAATCTATTAGCAAGTTATTAGGGCAGCTGTCCTACTTAAACAAATTTGTGCTCGGACTGGTTTTGCTTTTCACAGCTGCTGGCAGGCTCAATGCAGTACGTATTTCAGTAGTATATATTTTTTCATCTATAAAAATGCAGGTGTTTGAATTGTATATATCGGTAGTTCACTTCTACATACAATAAGACATTGTCCAAAATTGGTATAACAGTTCTACTTTGTAGTTGCATCACTGCGACTTTAAGATAAGTGCCTCAACTTCCCAAACAACGCATCATGTCTATCGATGACCTTTTTCATGCTTTTGTTGATTGTCCCAAAGGACCTCATTCAATTTTATGAGCCAAGATAATAGGGGAAATATTTAATTTCACTGTTCTATAAAGTGCTACTTACAAGTATGCCATAGTTATTTTAGTACTAAAACATTCAACTTGGTTATATTTCACTCATTGTTTCAAGGTTTGCATTTAGCACATGTTTCATTCAGAGAAAGATTGTGCTAAAGAACAACTTGTAAAATGTGAAAAACAAATCTTGATCAATAATACTTTATTTTGAAGCCAATTTATGTATATGTATGCTTATGACTTTTCGATACATTTAAATTATACATGATAGTAGTCACATGTTGACAACCGTTTTTGAAAATCTTTCATACAATGATTTTTCTGAATTGGTTGCGCCAAATCACTCGTTCAATGTGAAATCTTGCATAATGTGTGAAAGGTGTATACCGAAAAAATCAAATGCTTTTTTTTTTAATAGTTCAAAGTCAGAATGACAATCTCTCAGAAGGGAATATGGTGTTAAGATGCATCAATTATGTATAAGCACATGATTAAACTCTGAAATACTTTCACTTTTGTCAAATACCATGCAAAGTTTTTGAACTATGACCTTTGTTTCTTTTGTTTTTATACAATCAATTTCACACATAACACAGAGTCTCGCAGTGAATGGAAAATGGTTTATTGATCAACGACTTCTGATATATTTATTTCTCCAAGCCACGAGTATCCAACATATTGATCTTCTCACTCAGTGCTAACTGTGTACTCACAAGATTGGATAAATATACAACCATCAAGAGATCCTGAAAAAAAAAAAATTTAGTCACGAAAATGATAATAGCCAACATTTTTGCATTCTTCTCGGGGAAAATATTGAATTATGCTTGTGGGATTTTTAATTTGTCAATATCTTATAGAACATAAAAAGCAAATATTTTCTTTTTAATTATTGAAATTATTAAACCAAATTATTGAATTAATACTGTAAAATACTTTATTTTAGCTGGAATTAATTTTCGCCGATTTTTGATGAGTTGAATGTGAAATATAGGAAAAAAGGTATATTCGCTGGATTTTATTTTCACTAAATCATTCTATCAGCGAAAATAAAGTATTCTACAGTACTTCATTCAAATCAAAATTTTCTTGCATATTTTAATTTGCCAAAAAATTTATGGTTATTTTCTGAAACTATGCTTAATTATGAATTGTATGCTAATTTTTGTCAGTTGACATTACTAACGTTGGCGTCATTCTCATCTGATGCGCAAATTTTGTTATTCGGTCTAAAAGCTGTCATATTGCTACAATCAAAATTAGTTGTCCCTTGTGCACGCAAATACACAAAAATTGACCAAATCAGTCAAAGTTGTGAATGATATATGCTTATATAGTACTACACCCAGACATGATACAGGTAAATGATACTTACTTTCATATTATTGTTGAGCATTTCTTCAAATTGCTCAGCTTCTATCTGTGGTACAGTATTCAATAAATCCATTAAATATCGTCCAATTATATTATCAGCTGCCATCTTACCACCCTATAATAAACATTTACATATCACTTGTATGTATCATATAGAATCGCTACTCCTGTAATTATTTAATAACTGTATATGGTAAACATGAAGGAAGATCATTTTCACCACTAAGATTTTTGTAGAACATTTCCAAAAATTTTCTAAAATTTTTTCAGCAATTTCAGATGCAATGGTTGTAATTTCCCTTTGCTATAGGGACTGATCAAAATTACACAGATTTTGTGAAATGCTGACTTGCAGGGTTCTCCCCAGAGCATTTTAGAGTAAGAGTTCCCAACTGTTAAATTTTGGATAAAAAATAAAACCAATTTAGCATAACAATGCAATAAAAGTCATTAACATATTCTATTGTTATGCAAAATGGTTGACACTGTATGCAATTTTTCTGGGGAGAACACTGACTTGACTTCTGAAAATTCAATTTCCATAAAATTGAACCAAAACATTAGCAGATTGAAGTGACGAGACTCACCAAGACATCATCAACATAGTTGATGACAATTGTCAGTAGTTCTCGAAGTTTACCAGCATTTTTACCAACATGTTCCAAGTCTGTCACTATATCTATCGTTCTTTTATTCGGCAGTGCATTCTTGCCTTCTATAAACATATCAACTGTAAAAAAAAAGTGATTTATTTATTACTCTTTAATCAGGAAAAATATTATGTAGATTGACACTTGGGTCACTGCTGGTATGAATCGCATCTACCAATTTATCTATGCATATCGCTTGGAGCTTTTGTCTGACGAGAACCAATCAAAAAGTGCCTAGAAAACAGTATGAAACTTCTGATAGGTTGGATAGCTGATAGCAGTGATTGGAGTGCCCATCTATTTCAGATTTTAATCCTTATCCTGCCAGCACTATGTACGGTACTACTTTTACCTGAATTTACCATGTAAGAGTTAATCAGTGCATACTCTTGTAATCCTATTCTAATTACCTATGCATACAACCTACCGTACTTGACTAAGCGCCCAAACCCCACTTTTGGGGCATTGCTATTTTCAAACTCGCATTTGGCTAAGCGCCCAAAATGCTGCAAATTTGACACTTTGACAATAATCTGTTAACAACGGTGAAAGGCGAAAAATATTTTATTCTATATTCAGTTTACCAATCAAAAATTGCTAATTAATGAATCTTTTAACTTTGACTGCTTTCCCACAGACCCTAATGATTTTATACCATAAATAACATTGTAAAATCAAAGAAAGCTTAGAAAGAACTCCCATGTGCTGAGAGTATTGGAGACACATTAAATATAATTCGAAATTACTTAGCTGAAAACTAATTATGCAAATCAGAAAATTAATATGACCAGATTTGAGTGTAAAACTAATGAGGTCTGCGCAATGTAACAGAAAATCTATGTCTCCAAGTTTAATTGAAATGTGATTAGAACCAAAAAATTATGAATTATTATGCTTATTAGGGAATTAATATGAACAGATTTTTACCCCAAACT